AGATTTTAGTTTGTTCCATCTGAAACCAATGGTTTAGTGGTGTTAAATCCCTGCTTTTCCCCAAAACAAAATCAGCAGGGAGATACTTTCACGATTCAGTCTTGTCATTTCAGATTTCAAAACTCCACAAAGAGCTGTCTAACTAATTAAGCCACGGAGGGGTTTCTCCCCACCCTACCGGGCCAGGAGGAAAGATGCTTGGCTTGGCACCCTGATCGGTCTCATGACTGTCATCCACCCAACCCTGATAGAGGCTCCCCTGAAAGAAATTGCTAGCAGATCTTTAACTAGAGCAATGCTAGCGTGGCATCCTTTGCCATAACCTATTACAAGTACCCATCACACAGAACATATGCATACAGATAACAGCTCCCCCGTTGACATTTAGATGTACCCTTGGAATTTATCTTTAATTTTTATAGTTGTCTTTTTTTAAAAAAAAAACAGTTTATGGGTCTTTCTTCAAACAAGCTGTCTCGCTGCTGTTCCTGTTCCGCTAATGCCTAATCAGTTGGAACATGAAATGAATATTGGATTTGGTATTAAATATTGAAGGACCCTCCTCAGATCTTCAGCAGCTGAATCATGAACTCCTGAGATCCCTGCCTTGCCATCTACATCTGCTTGCTAATAGGAACAGCACAAGAAAGCCTTTGTGGCAAACTCCCTTGGGTGCTGCTGACTGGAGCCTTGTCTCAACCCAGAGATTGCTATCAGCTTCCCAGAGTTCGGACACTGATCAGATTAAAGCATGCATCCAAAACTTTAGCCGATCTCTATCCCTGGTCAGGAACAATAACCTCAAATACGACAGAAACAAAATGTACACTAAGAGATGAGAAACTGAATATTTGCATTTCTATTCACCTGGATTTGCTCAGAAGTAAACAAGAACTGAGCATGTATTTAGCAATAGCCGGATTCTACTAGGGATACCTTTATATTTTAGTTTGGAATGACCCAACTTTGCTTCTAAAGGAAAGCGACATGTTAGGAGTGCTCTCTTATTCCACTTTTCCCACCCTACACAAAAGGAACAGAATAGCCTACATCTGTAGTTTGTTAGAATTTAGTGCCTTCCATTCATCTATCTTACTTACTTATAACACATGATCAATGCGTAAAAGCACAATAATGGGACCCTGGCTAGCATGTGTGAGGATTGCTTCAAGAACTGTTGATGCAATATACATAGCAATAGCACTTAGCATTAGCACTTAGACTTATATACTGCTTCACAGTGCTTTACAGCCCTCTCTAAGTGGTTAACAGAACTGCCCCCAACAATCTGGGTCCTCATTTTATCCACCTCGGAAGGATGGGAGGCTGAGTCAACCTTGAGCCTGGTGAGATTTGAACTGCCAAATTGCAGTCAGCCGGCAATCAGAAGAAGTAGCCGGCAGTACCACACTCTAACCACTGCACCACCATACATATGATGTTTTATCTGGGTGCATCTTTCTGTACAAGGATAAAACACAAAGGCAGTCTTGACTTGATTTTAAATACAGTTCTATCAAGATTTGTGTGTGTGTGATGTGCTGTGTGCACTGCACCAGTAAAACTCTGCACAAAAAAAAGAGCAAACAACGAAAAAAAAAGGAGGGATACGGTCATACATATAATAATATCAATTTGAAGGTTGCATCTATCATGGCCATATTTGAATGGTTGGTCCTCAAGGATAAACTATATGATTTCATGTCATGTTATATTTCAGCAGATATTTGTCCTGTCTTGCCCTAATTAAAGAAACGTCAGGCAACTGCCACATGATAAAAAATATACAAGTCAAAGAGATTAAGAATCATTGGAGCCCATGTACATTTGAGCATTATGACCTGTAATGCTCAAATGTACAAAGAAATTATAAATCTAAATACATTAAATTTAAAAAGATATTTTAAAAGTTTAAATACTGGATTTGCATGGGCATAAGAGTCATCTTGCTAAGATGGACAGAAAACCCTGTTGAAAATAAGCAAAGTTCGGAGTTGTAAACAGCTGAAAAATATTGAAAAATGCGGATGACATTGAAAGCTAGCCATCATTTGGGAAAAGCTGATTGCCTGGTAAACTTAACCCTTTTGTAACCAGAGTTTCTGTTTGCTTTCGGTCTTTCCTTGTTCATATATATCTTTTCTCCTTCATCCATTTTTTCCTCCCATTTCTCTTCCTTTACCACTAGTACCATTCCTTACCCTCATCTCCTATTCAGCCATTCTTTCCCACCACCACCACCACTCTTAGTGATGAATGGAAAAAGAGGAATGTGTGTTTACATGTGTACTTGTTAGTTCCTATGAACGAGAGTAGTTGGTATGAGCAAGGCTGGTTATATGCAGATAAATTGATTTTTTTTAATTGAGTTTTTCTTTTACAAGCAATGAATTAATTTTATTTATGTACGGGGCTCTTATTTTACAGGCAATGAATTAATTTTATAATGGTTACTTTATTTTATAGGTAATTAATTTGAACCAGTGGTTATTAATTAATTTTTGTTTTGTCCTATCCATGCCCTTTTCTGGAGTGTGGTTTCACACACACACACACACACACACACACACACACACACACACACAAATCTCATGCCCATTTAGAGAGGGTGGAATCCCTAGGATGGATTTCACTTGGAATAACAATTTTAAGTTAACAAGATGGAAAAGCTGGGCACGTCGCAAGGATACTTTCCTAGTATTTATGGTTTATTTTTCCTTCTATTTTCTTTTCCCTTTGAGATGGGAGGACTTTCGTCCGCACTAGTAAATATGGCATTACCCGCCCTGCCAATTTAATATTCCTCTGGCAATTTTGCAGGAAATGTGTGGCATGTTTTCCAAGATAAGACAGGCTTGGGTTATAGAGAAAAACACTCTCCTGCTTCAGGCAAAACAAAAACCAAAAACCAAAACCAAAACAGAATAATGAGTAGTTTCCTCTTTTAAAGCATGCCATCATTGTTAATAATGTAATCTATAGCTTGTTTAAAAAAAAAAATGCTACTGTCGTCATAATAGGTTCTGATCACTGCTGATAGAAGGAACACAGGAGAAAAACAACAGTGGGTTAATTGTGCAGCTTGGAAGTTCTTTTATTGTTCTGTGTCTTTCTTGAAAGCATTTTGCTACCAGCCAGAAAGAGCTGGGGGAATTGGTTACACCAGGTGCAGCTGTATTTAATAGTTGTGTTTATCACTTTGCTTGTCATGATCTACTTAGACGGAGAGACTGAGAAATTGCTTGATTTTACCCTTGCTAATTTTGTGAAGCATCTTCTAGCAGATAACAGCAAAACAACTCCCCCACCCCTCTCCTTGGGTGAACCTAACAAAGAATCTTCTACCAATTTCCTTGCCTTCATTCCTCTCTGTATGGCCAAACAGCAGCGGTGGAGTGAAAAACAACCACAGCCCACTGTCCTGTTTTTCATTCTTGCCTGGTTATCAGATTGGATAGATGCTCTGGTAAACATCTGCATTAAGGACCATAGTGAGCATTATGAAGGACTACACTTACTTTCGGTCTGAAAGTTGCACCTGGTAAAGAACTAAAGCAACCAGCACTCTTTACACACACACACATCAAAACAGTCTTCCAACAACTTCACTGGCTGGTTCAAGATTTTTTATTGTGACCACATAGACAATTAGGGATCAAGATTCTTGGTGGAATGACTTTAGGTTGGATTTGGCATTCACAAATGTCTGTTAATTTTTTCACTGGGAAAAATAAAGTCTCATTTCTGCTTATCAGCAGGAATATTGGGCACATGGGAGAATCCACTTTTGATTTTCCATAAGGCTGATATTTCTCTGTTCATCCTTCTAAAAAACCAACAACACATAAAAAAATTTCCCCTGCCAAGTCTGGTGTGTGTGTGAGTGAGTGTGTGTGTTCAGCACTGGGGGACAGCATTGTCCAAAGATGCCTCTGTGGTCATGTGGCCAGCATGACTATATGCCAAGGTGCATAAAACACTGCTACTTTCTCACTAAGGTGGTACCTATTTATCTACTTACATTTGCATGCTTTCAAACAAACTAGGTTGGCAGGAGCTGGGGGTTCATCCCTCTATACCCACCCAAACGTGAGGGTTCTGCATTCCCTGATAGCAAAGCCGAAATAGACATGGGGACATGGAACCCAGCAACTGTACAGTGGGGACACAGTCTTTCAGTGAATCACCAAAGCTCTTTTTCCTTAGTGTAACATAAAATGTTTTCAACTTCAACTCTCCATGGGGAAATACACCCCTCTCCTGCCAGATCATTTTGATCTGGTTTCAATATGCCCCAGTATAGAGGACAGACTGGAAGAAGACATGACTTCAGTAAATAGGATCTCAGAATCAGGGCAAGGAGCCGGTCTTTTCTTTCACAACCATTCATCTATTTCTTTTTTTTCTTTTTTTGGTTTTCTTGGCTTTCCTGATTTCTATTAAAGCTCAGAGATCCCAAGGGAAGTGTATTCCCCTGTCCCTCCACCACTAGTGTAAGCAATCAGGGAGACTGTGCAGCATATGTTGTAGGAAATAACCCACCCATAGTGTGTCCCAACTATCACCACCGTCACCACAAACAGAAACAAATAAACAAAGTAAGTTTAAAAAAAAACCATCTACTGAATTTCAACAGAAATTCTCAGGAAAAGAATTTTCTGTTCTGTTTTTATAAAGTTAGAAAACTTTTGAGAATTTTCAAGGCCTTTTAATTAAAGCTACTTCTTTAGGCCTAACTAAAGGAAAGCTCAAAAACAAGGCAGAAATATCCTCATGTTTTTTGTTTCCAGAACCTGATACTGAGAAGAGATCTAACTTGAAAACACATAGTTTTTCAACAAGGTCGTCACATTCACAAAAACTATAAACTTGTTCAGACATTATCTGAACCCTCTTCTATTAATTCTTGAAATGAAACCACAGTTTTAACCCTTAGTAATTCAAGAAAGAGAAATAAATGAAGTCCTTCCCCAGTCTCGACTTATGATATTTTCACGTACCTGTATAAATAAATCTACCAGGAGCTCCTTTGCAAAATTGTTTGGATTTGTACGATAATGTTACTTCAACCACACCAGGGATGTGACGAGGAGGTGTTTGGACACGGATGGCATGTGGGGTGATTAGCTGAGAATAAAAAGAGACAACATGTTGAGACAGTTATAACAATTGTCATTCTGCCAGAAAAGGAGCACCCATTCTCAGTTGTATGCCTGTTGATGAAACTGTAGGTCAACATTCAATAGAAGGGAACTTTCCCAGTATTTGAAAAAGTGCTGAGTTATTTGGGTCAGCTCCAGATAAGTGTCTTGGGTCAAAAATTAAACAGGAAAAAGTTTTGCTAGTATCGAAAATACCAGAAAATTCCCAGATGGGAAAATAAACAAATAAAATTCAAGGAGAAGGAAGGAAGGAAGGAAGGAAGGAAGGAAGGAAGGAAGGAAGGAAAGAAAGGGAGGGTCAATGATGAACCATTTCCAAAACATTGTCTAGAAAAATAGCATGATTCTGTCTGTCTCATCAATAGAAACCAATCTTGACATGAGAACATCTTTACCTAATTAACTGTGAAGGACTTAGAAATGGTTATTCGGGCTTTGCATATATCCTGATTTGTTCTTATATTGTGGTTTTTGTACAATGTAAGAGTCTCTGGAAATAATATTGACCCAAAGCTATGCTGTGAACTAGTAGGTGATGCTAGTATATCATATAACACTGAACTGCATTGGCTACACTGGTGCTAAGAATTCTCCCAGCATAATTTAAGGTATTTAACATTTGAAGCTCTTAAATGGTCCAGATTCTAATTATTTCAAAAGATTAATTCATTCATTATGAACCTGTTCAGGCATTAAAATCAAGAAAAGCCCTTCTCACTTTTAGAAGCCAGTTTCTTAGAAAGTATGAGTCCCCACAAGTCCCCTGTGTTTCCATCAACCTATAGAATACACTCCTTTCTGACTCCTCTTAAGAATATCTGTTAAGGCACATCTCCTTTGCAATTGCTTTTGTTTTATCTGTTGAATTTGGGGTGAAGGAGTGCCTATCTTTTCTTGTTTTTGCCTGTTTCTTAGATAAAGATATAAGTGAGTGTTCCATTGGAATAGAAAGATAGGTATAATCGGGGGTGGCATTCACTTACCTTCCCTACTTGTTTGCAAAAATGAGTGCACGCGCCACCTCCATGCATGCACACAGCCTTCTGCACATGCCCTTTTGGTGAAAAAATGGCCTAAATGGGATGCCGTAGAAACGGGGCGGGTGGGCAGGGCCAACCGTGATTTCTGCTACCGGTTTGAGTAAACCAATCTGAACTGGTAGTATTCTACCTTTGGTACTAATAAAGGAGAATATTTGTAGCTCAGGGTTGGCACGAGGGCTCCTTGGTGCTCTCTGAGCTTCCTTGTTTTCTTGCAGACATTTCATTACCCAAACTATGTAACATCATCAATGCTAGTGATCAGTGCTTTTAATACCCAAAAAGATAGGTATTGAAACTTTAAATAAATAAGAATAAAGAATAGTGTGTGAGTGTATATATGTGAGCATACACAGAGAGGAGGACAATCTGAAGCTCCAGATTAGAAATACTTCTTAAATACTTCTTCACCATTCTGGGATTCTCAACTACTTGCTCTATTAAGTGGAATTAACATAATTTGGAATTCCCTAAGATTTTTCTTTTGGATTTTATATAGTACATCAGAAATGGATATCTTACTGTATTTATTTATTTATTTATTTATTTATTTATTTATTTATTTATTTATTTATTTATTTATTTATTTATTTGCCTTGAATTCTGACACTTTGTGAATTATTCCTTTGACTATAACCTCTGGTTTTGTCAAGTATGCTTTACCCATGCACAGAAGTGCAGGCCTATATGTAAAAGACAGAGTGTGTATATGTGTGAGCAGGCAGGCACCCATTCACATGGTTATGCCTGCTATCTATAATCACATCTGCATTGTTTTTCATTGTTGTTTGGAAGATAGTAATTAATCTGAATGAAAGAAAACATGGTCATTTGTACTTACATAACATACGCAGACTGGACTCGAATTAAAGCAGAAAGAGAGCAATGGGGAACATTATGAAACTTTGTTCTCTGTTGATGCTACCATTTGCCTTTTATTCTCTGGGAAGTGACAAGGGCAATTTCAAAATACCTTGATTGTTGAAGAACAATCTGGGGGGGGGATGCAATTAAGAAGCAAGTGTCCCTACCTCACTCCACACAAGCATGGTCCCAAATACGACTTGAAGCCCATCAAAAAAGTTGTCCCCTATAATGATCACCATGGCTCCACCAGTGGTCCAGCCTTCACTTGGACTAATAGCTTTGATGCACGGAGTGGCTAAAGAGAAAAGTTACAAGGAAAAAGAAAAGGAAGGGAGAATAGAGTTAGCTTTCGGATGAAGCTCCTATGGAGACTTCTTTTGATGGCTCGATGGCTCCCAATTTCTCAGCTGTTTCTCCCCCACCCCTACATAACAGCAATATAGCACATGGCACAATGTTACCTCTCTCAGGAACTCTGGAAACATAAAATTAAGTTACAAATTATTAAATATACATATTTAATAATACATGTATTGACAGCAGCAAGAATTGTATTTGCCCAATACTGGAAAAATGAAGATATACTCACAGATGAAAATATAATTAGAAAAATACTAAACTGTGTGGAGATGCATAGACTGACACCAATAATAAAAGATAAGGAGGAAACAGAATATTTTTAACATGGGATATGTTTTATCAATGGTTGGACAAAAGAGGTAGAAATTAGAGGATGAAAGATTGCTGAAATACATAAGTAAATGAAGTAAAAAAAATACTATAAAACTATATTGTGGTATTTTAATTATGGATATTAAAATTACTACTTTTATTACTAGTTTATTAATACTCTGTATAAACAAATTTTGAGTCCCTTGGACTGCAAGGTGATCAAACCGGTCAATCCTAGAGGAGATCAACCCTGATTGCTCTTTAGAAGGCCAGATCTTGAAGATGAAACTCAAATACTTTGGCCACCTAAGGAGAAGAAAGGACTCACTGGAGAAGAGCCTCATGCTGGGAACGATGGCAAAAGAAGAAAGGGACGACAGAGAATGAGGTGGCCGGATGGAGTCACTGAAGCAGTAGGCATGAGCTTAAATGGACTCCAGAGGATGGGAGAGGACAGGAAGGCCTGGAGGAATGTTGTCCATGGGGTCACAATGGGTCGGATACAAGTTCGCAACTAACAACAACAACAATAAACAAATTGATCCAGGCAATACACTGCTTATTAAGCACCTATGTATTTTAAAGAAGAAAAAAAATGTATAAATAAAAATCATTTTAAAAGTTACAAATTATTAAACACACACACACACACACACACACACACACACACACACACACAACTTATGAGATCACCCAGTCTCATGAGCTTCCTATAGTCATGAATTGCAATTCACAAAACTTTAGGTAAGGATGCCAAAATCGTGCACTATATGGCGACCCATTTCAACCATTTAGAGTCATTTTCATCCTTATTAGTGGTTGTCTGTATTGCACACTCAGTTTGTCCTGGGCCCCTGAAGAGACTGCTGAGCTTTCTCTTCCTGGAAGATCTCAGCCAAGAAGATCGGTCAAAAATGAGCTCGTTCAAGTTTGTTGGCCAAAGACAGAGAGAAAGGTCGAAATGAGTGCCTAAAACAGATGCTGAAAAGACCTTTTTCACCCCATACTCTCTTGTTTCTGGATAATTTTGGAAAATTCTTTTGCCTTTCAGTGATTGTTCATCTTCTAGGCTGTCAAGCATTTAGGACAATTCACATGAGAATTTTCATTTGGTTTCTATGGTTCTTCACCTCCTGCCTTTCTTCTCCAGTCTGGGAACTGAAGTTTGGGGAAATACTGAAGATTCACAGTATGCATTTTGCTGCCTCACTGGAATTAAGATGTTGGCTTAACACACAAAGAGAAAGGAAGATTTCCTCCATCGTATTTACTGAAAGGACCACAAATGACTGGGTTCACATAACATATTAAACCACAAAGAAACAAATTAGTGTTCTATGTAGCCAGGGAGAAAGAAGTCAGGTAAATTGGGATGATAAATGATGGTTATGATTTCCTGCATTTAATTCCTGTGAGAGCTTGAGGTGAGGTACATGGGAAGGATTCATGGAATTTGGCCCGCAATGAAATCACTATGAAGCAAGTGAGGGTGAGGGAAATAATGATGATGATGAGAGGGGGATGGAGAGAGAGAGGAAAGGAGGAAAGGAGGGAGGGAGGGAGGGAGGGAAAGAGAGGGGGGCACCCAAAGTCTTGCATTAAATTCCCTGCAACTAGGAACTAGATGGTAGACTCACCAGTCTAAATTCTGTGCCTGAATCATTACATGGCACCTGTTCTGCATAATAGCAATAGCACTTAGCAATAGCATAGCAAACAGTAACAGAGTTGGAAGAGGCCTTGGAGGTCATCTAATCCAACCCCCTGCTCATGCAGACCTGTACTAGGGATTCGAACCACCAAACTGCCAACCTTTCTGATTGACAAGCTCAGTGTCTTAGCCACTGAGCCACCTAGTCACTTAGCACTTAGACTTATATACTGCTTCACAGTGCTTTACAGCTCTCTCTCAATGGTTTACAGAATCAGTATATTTCCCCCAACAATCTCGGTCCTCATTTTACCCATCTTGGAAAGATGGAAGGCTGAGTTTACCTTGAGCCTGGTGGGATTTGAACTGCCAAATGGCAGGTAGTTGGCAATCAGCAGAAGTAGCCTGAAGTACTGCACTCTAACCACTGTGCCACCACGGCACTTAGACTTATATATTTGTATACCGCTTCACAGTGCTTTATAGCCCTCTGTAAAAGATTTACAAGGCCAGCCTATTGCCCCCAACAATCTCGTTCTCATTTTACTAACCTTGGAAAGATGGAAGAATGAGTCAACCCTGAGTTGAGCCAGTGAGAATTGAACTGCCAAACTGCTGACAGCCGACAGTCAGCAGAAGTAACTTGCAGTACTGCATCCTAACCACTGCGCCACCACTGCGCTCTTTCTTGCATAAGTGTTGTCTTATCAAATTTTACTGGGAAGAAGGCATAGAATGGTTTGTAAATCATTTGAATTATTTGAAAGTGTAAAGTACAGCCAGTAAAGCATTTTTAATGTTACTTCAATCCTGGCAACTGTAAATTGCCTTGCATTCTCAGCCTCCTAGCTTAGGTTAGAGGTGAACAAACCAGAGCCTCAGGGCGTCATGTTGCTCCTGAAATCCTTCCCCATTATGGCTCCAGAGACCCTTAAAAGTTGCTACCAAGTTGTAATCTACTTAATGCTCGTGTAGAGAAATGATTAAGCGTATTATGCAATGTTTCCTTTTCGTTCTGTTCTACCCATGATTTTTTGAAGTGCAGCCACCCATTGCCAAGTATGGCTCATAGCTTCCCAAAAGCCATACAGATAATCATCAGTTTATGACCACAATTGAGACCAAAATTACAATTGCTAAGCAGGACATTTGTTAATGAGTTTGGCCCCATTTTATGACCTTTCTGGCCACAGTTGTTAAGTAAATCACTACAGTGGCTAGGTTTAACCTAGTGGTTAAATGAATCTTGCTTTCCCATTGACTTTGCATGTCATAAATTTGCAAAAGGTGACCACATGATTTTGGGGCAGTGTAACTATCATAATTAGGTGCCAGTAACCAAGTGTCTGAATTTGGACCACATACTCATGGGGACACTGCAACAGTTGTCATATCTTTTTTTTCATTGGAACATTGAATGACTGAAGTTCCATCCAGTTCCTAAATAAATGGTTGTAAGTCGAGGACTACCTGAACAGCTCTTCCCAGACGGCACACGCTAGCTTTTTTTTAGTAAAAGTTTTTCACAGACCAATTGCGTTGCAAAGGTTAGTGAGCTACAACCAGTAGTGGGATTCAGCCGGTTTGCACTGGTTTGAGCAAACCAGTTGTTAAATTACACACACACAAACACAGAAACACACACACAAACACACACACACAACATACACATATCAAAGTGGATCGTGGGCGCTGTGCTGCAATGGAGAAATGGGCAACAGAGCAGCCGGCACAAGGGAAGGAGAAGGCCGCTTCCCTCTTTCTTCTCCCTGCTCTTTCTCCTTCCCTTGTGCCGGCTGCTCTGCTTCCCATTTCTCCATTGCAGTGCCCAGGATCCACTTTGAAGGGAAAGGGATGCAATTTAACAGCCCTTTTATCAGGGTCAGGTTGGGCCACACCTCTCATGATGGCCCACCTGGGCGAACCTGTTGTTAAATTATTTGAATCCCACTGGCTATAAGGTAAGAAACTGACTTGATTTGGACTAAGCCAAAACTAGAGCCTGCCTGAAGGAAAGAAGGAAACAAATCGGAGAAACAGTTGCAATGAAATATGAATGCACTCAATGGTAGATCACATGTATCCTCTACAGAAATCCCCAAGGGTTTTGGGTAGCCAGAGTGAGAGTTCCATCTGTGTCTCTGGAGAGTGGCTACCACTCGTATCAGTCAGTACTTGATTAGACGCATCACTGAATCTTAAACTGGATTAAAGTAGCGATCAGCAAAAATAAAGGACTCCACCAGGGAAGCGAATTGTGGTTGCGGTACTTGCCAATTCCATATAAAGCTTTTACAGCAAATTCTTCTTTTTAGTTGCTTGCTCGTTTCAAAAACAGGGGGCGGGTCCTCCCAAAGTGGATGATATGGAAACATCATGGAATAAATCATTGATCATAAATGCTTCCCTCAATGGAGAAAATAAAAATTCCAAAAAGAGAGAAGGCTAATAAAAGAGCAGGAATTTTTTAAAAACATAGCTTGAAAAGGAAGATTTCAGAAATAGGTTGAGATTCAGGAAAACAGAGGTCATTTCTGATACATCGTGTTTTCTTCAGCAAAAAAAATTACATCCTAATATTCAGAATGACAGCTTAAACCACACACTGCTCAGACTTCCATACTTTCCAAAAAAGCAGATTTTTTTTAAAGGATAGTTTACTTTTACCTTCATATTTAGATTTGGCTTGATTTTTAATTTTAAAAAACCAACCCTATATATCACTTTGAGAATCCCACCAGACTGAAAACAATAAATACTTTTAATAAAATGAAATGAATAAAATATTCATGCTTGGAACACATAAAATCAGTAAATAATCCAGGAAATAAATTATGAGCCTTGGCTCATAATTCTTTCTAAAATTCTGTACCATGGGCTAGAGTCACTAGTCAACCATTCTGGTGAACCGGTAGTGGAAATTTTGAGTAGTTTGGAGAACTGGCAAATACCACCTCTGGCTGGCCTAGCCC